TAATTTCACAAAAAATAATTGAATACCAATTCAATAAAAATTTAATTTATACATATGTGATCATACTGCCTCTGTGGCCGAACGGTTACAATGTCGAACTGCCACACGGAAGTCCCGAGTTCGATTCCTGTGCCGGGACAAATATTTGTATGGCCTACATTTATTTCTCTCGTAAGTTGGGATGTAATTTGTGTTTGTCTTGTGTGTGACCATGGCACCCACGATACAGGGTTTCCCTATTGTGGGGCTATGAGTGTGTGCGCGTTATATTAAATAAATCATAATAAATTATATATAAGTATCTAAGATAAATTCAGAAGCATATCGAAGGACTTTAAATTAATTACATGATAAATAAGATTTTGTCATAGGTGTTCTTTAATATTAGTTATAATCACTTTTATTCAGAAGGAACGCTTTTAAATGTTTACAGTAAACTTTTGATTGTAAATTGACACGTGATTTTAAATTTTAATTATCATAACTTCTTCTTTCTTCTTATGCGATTGTTTCATAAATTAAAAAGATATCAAAAAGCTTTAAACTGAAATCGAAAGTACATTACCTATGAATAAATCGACACGACTTTTTTTAAATAAAACTACATATATCCAAAATATTGACATTAAACGCTCCCATACATTTAATATGACATTCGAGGTTTTCATGGTGTCGCCATCTCTGAGGTACCGGATTCGATCCCCGGCCGCGTCAGTGTAGAAACTAACTTTAGTGTAGAAAAATGTTTGTGGTATCGTCGTTGTTTCCGATTTCCATAACACAAGTGCTTTAGCTACTCACTTTGGGATCAGAGCACGTACACACATCAAAAAAAGTTTGCGATCACTTCGAAAAACTGAAATCTTTTTTGTTACTGTAGATTATATTATGATTTTTTCTTCTTTTTAGATTCTTTATTTAAAAATAAATTAGAACATAAAACAATGACCCCGTTCAATTGTTTTTTCATATAAAAAGGCTTTCAGTCCTAGCTTATGGCTCATTCAGAAATCTGATTTAGTCAATTATAAGCGATTCAAGATATTTTTCGCGGAAAGTTGTGATTGAAAAAATGCCAAGAGGATTATCAGAGGTTTTACGAGCTAGAATAGTAACTTTGAGGGAAGAAGGATACACCACGAGAGTAATAGCACGCAGACTTGCTATATCCCAATCCTGTGTCGTGGCTACGTTGCAGAGGTATCACGGAATGGGGAATTTAGCTGACCGACCCCGCAGCGGTCGCCCAACTGTTTTGACAGCTGCCCAAAAGCGCTATATTAGATTGCTGGCAGCCCGTGATCCAACAATCAACGCCACTAAAATAAAAGCAGAAGTCAGGGCCGCCTCTGGGCTTGAAGTTAGCACGCAGACCGTTCGCAATTGCTTGCACCAGGCTGGATTACGAGCACGGAGGTCTTGGCGAGCTCCGCTCAATTCCCGGCAACGTCAACAACGAAGATTGCAGTGGGCTAGACTTCGGCAAAATGAAGAAGGTGAGGACGAAAACATTTGGCAAAACTGTCTCTTCGTTGACGAATCCCGAATCAGCACTCATCCAGATAACCGACGTGTCCGTGTCTGGAGAAGACCAGGCGACCGTGAAAGACAAAGAACTGCCACTGGAACAGTTCAGCAAGGCGGAAAATCGGTGTCCTTTTGGGGTGGCATTATGATTGGAGCTAGAACGCCTTTGATCCCGTATCGGGGCTTCATGACAGCAGACATGTACAAAGCAGTTGCTATTGATGATATCGTCAGACCATTCTGAGTAAACCATGGGCACCAATTTGTACTGGTCGATGATAATGCGCCCGCACATCGAGCTCAACGAGTCAATGCTGCTCTTCAAGAATACGATATCACACGATTAGACTGGCCTGCCGGCTCGCCCGACTTAAACTCAATAGAGCACGCGTGGGATGCTCTTAAACGAGCAGTATGGAACCGTGAGCCACGTCCCCAGACAGTTCCAGAGCTCAGGGAAGCCGCTATTGAAGAATGGGATAGGTTACCCCAGGAAATGCTGGATAACTTGATCCTCAGCATGCCCAGGAGGATCTTCGCATGTATTCGAGCCAGGGGAGGAGTTATTTTATATTGAATTCACACCTTTTAATAATAAATTCTTGTTTAAGTTTAATTAAACAGTCTTTTTCTTTCTATGAAATTTCTATCACTATTACATTATGATTAATGGCTCAATTTTTTTAAATAAATAATAAAAAATAGTTTTATATTTTAATTTCAAACAGGGTATTCCTATTTAAAGAAAGCATACAACATAGATTTTTTCTTGATAAAGTTAAATTTAAAGAATTATAGGAGCTTATGCTATTGATCGCAAACTTTTTTTGATGTGTGTATGTGATGTTGTCTAATGTAATATAGTCAATTATTTAGTCAAGTGTGAATTGTCCATAAAAATCACTACACTAAAAAACGGTGGACGCGTAGATGTCGTGTTTCTAAGTGTTACCCATAGTACAGTTGATGTGGAAATAAATAAGCGTAAACTTTTCATCGATTTTATTCATTTTTTATTCTTTTCATCTCAGTTATTTAAATAAGTCTATTACAATGATAACATTATATTTCATTAATTTAACACTTCACTGCTCCGATAATTTTTATTCACGGTCAGCTACAGACCTAATTGCCAAAACGGGTAAAGTTCAAACTAAAACATATAGTTAACACGGATAAAGAGAAACAAAAACAAATTAAAATTAAAGAAATGATATATATTTTCATAAACTTTTATACGAAAATTATTTTATGCTCATAGAAATTAACAGCTATACCACACCTACTACAGCTTTTTAAAATCAATAAATAACACGTCGAATGACAAGAGATGACAACCGTGATTCTTTGTTTTACATAAACTAATTTTATAAATTTATAGTATATTTACAAAAATACTGTAAGTACTTACTTATTAAACTTATTCTTTGGTTGAAGTAGCTGCCTGGTCAACGGATGCATCACCGAGGTGAACTGAAAGCTCCTTAGCGAGAAGTTTCGCCCGAGGCCCCCATGCAAGGACCCAGGATTTTCAAAGCACAAATACCTACCTACTAGACCATAGGTTGGCGACTTCCATCCTGTCGCGGTTCTCGGCTGCTCGGGCTGCGGAGCCCTCGCCTCCCATGCTTGCGTGGACAGGGGAGAGGGCCACGATGACAACACAATACCCAGCGTCCATGGACCGACGGTCATAGGGCCTTTAACCATTGTTACAACGGATGCCAGTGCGCTCCAGAGTAACCACTATTTTGGAGCTGGCAAGATCCCGGTGGATGATGTTATTGATAGCTGAATATGGGTCCACACAGACTCAAAGGGGAATATCTGGCCACAATTTTATTTATCAAATCTTTATTTTTTATTCAATATTTTGAGGGCTAACAAAAACATCCTATCTGCCTACCAAGGTTACCATATAAGTTATTGTTCACATTGCGTTATATAGTAAATATTATTTTCTAAGTAGGTAACTAGTTTTTTCACGAGAATCACATAAAGTAGCATAACGATACGAAAACGTATTTTTGAAGTTCTATTACTACATAATTTATGATAGCGGTAAAAATTGTAAAAAATTAGTATGGTTGTAAAAATTACCAAATTTCTAAATAAGTGACTTTGTTTTTTTTTGTTATACTACAGCTGATTCATGTTTTGGGTCGAGTATCTACCTACCTAAGTATAAACATTTAGTATGATGATATACTCTCGTGTTTTCAGAGGGGTTTCCATATATTTAAGTAGTTGTACTTATTGTTGACTAGAATCGCTCCCTATAATAACATAAAGTAAAAGATGTGTACCACGTAGTATTTACTATATTTGGGTGCGAAGTGCCAGTCAACCGGAAATTGCGTTACGAAACTACTTCCTTTTTCTTTTCCGGTAATGAAGCGTAACATGAAGCACTAACAATGACAATTTCGACCACAAATAGGAAAGATATACAAGATAATGAGTAGGCCTGCTGATACACGGGAATGTCGCAATAACAATAATCAGCGGGTAATTAGGCGTAGCGCATGCCGAGCGCGCCGCCGTGCCGTCCTTGTCCAATGGTTTCACCAACTGCAACCTGCAACTTTAAAGATATAAATGCTCTCTCGGACTCTTGCAAATTCAGTTCAGTCCCGGTACCCAAACATTCAACAAGAAATTTTAAAAACAAACGACAATGAGGACGTTAGTCGCCCTAGCTGTGCTGGGATGTGCTCTGGCCGCCTGTTCGGGTCGTGAGATTGACGAACCCGATCTCGTGGCGGCGGCCAGTCATCACAAGGGGCATCACCACGAGGAGGGAGGCGGTAAATCGCATCACGCCCATCATCATCACGAACACGGGGAGAAGGGCCATAAAGGACACAAGGGACACCACCATCACCACAAAGGCGAGCATGGTGATCATCATAAGCACCACCATGAGGGACATCATCACGAGCACGGCGGCGGTCACAAGAAGCATTGGGACGAACACGACCACCACGGTAAGCATCATGAGCACGGACACCACCACAAAGGAGGAAAGCACGGCCACAAAAAACACCACGACAAGGGAGAGGAAGTTGAAGGTTATCACAAGAAGTACCACAAAGACGAATACCACAAGGACCATCATTTCTACGACGATCATCATAAGGAAGGCAAGCACCATAAACACGGCAAGCACCACGGGCACCATGAAAAGAAAGGAGCCGGTCACAAGAAGGGCGGCCACCATCACTCTGGTCATCATGAGCATCACCACGGCAAGAAGGGTCACCATGATAAGCATCATTACGACGAGGACCACAAGGGCCACAAGGGACACCATGGCCACGAGGAGCATCACCATCACCACCACGACCATGGCAAGAAGGGCGGTCACGAAGGGCACAAGCACTGGGGATTCCATCATGGCAAGCACTGATAGTTATACGCCTAAAATATTTGTTATGTCGTTATTGTTATTTTGTACCTACTCTTGTAAATAAAATTGAATATTAAAAATATATATTAATTTATGCATATACGTGTGTAATTATTATTGCTCAAAGGCCGTATAAGTTTTATTTACTCAAAATGAACAATTCCATATCGTCAATGAGGCGCGCGTCCAAAAAATAAATTGGAATTTACTCTAAGCTTCTCGAACTTATAAAATCGTTACATTTTCAGTAACAAACAATAAACGGGTCAAATAAACTAAATTAAATTATTAACACAAACTCGCCAGCTACTCCGACGGAACTAATTGGGTTTAACCGTGGCCCGATGTCGTCACAACTCTGTCGCAGAATCAGTCGCCCAGAAATCAACAGCAATACGATTGCTAAAGATCGCTCTGTAATCGGCCGCAGATGAAAGCGTTATCTATAAATTCAACGAGCGGAAACTCTTGTGACACTGCACTGTCGGACCTCATAGCAGCCACGCCACTCGGGGAGCCACCGCAAGTAAGTTACTTAAACATACCTATTACGTAATTTATTATTAAACTTGAAAAATATAAATATCATTCATGGTACGTAGGTCATATTATTTCTATTTTATATATTTTTCAGAAATGAGGCTCTTTATATTATCGGCACTATTAGCCGGTATACTTATAACATCATCACATTCACGGAATGTAGCAGAGTTGAAAGGTGAAAAAGGTGTCGAAGAAAAAGCCGTAGCTGAATTGACTGCACCGAGCGCTCCCAGCGGACCTGACCAGTCAGCTGCAGGTACCGCCAGCGCCGCATCCGATCAAGCACTCGCCGGCACTGAGCACAAAAAAGCAAAAAATACGCACCACGAACAAGGTGGCGGTCACGAACACCACGCCGAACACCATAAGGAGCACGGAGACAAAGGTGAGAAAGGCTACAAATCACACCATCACCACGATAAAGGCGATCATGGCCACCACGAAAAACACCACCACGAAGGACACCATGGTGAGCACGGCGAAAGCAAAAAGAAGCACCACGACGAACATGATCACCACGGAGAGCACCACGAAGCAGCTCACGGTCACAAAGGTGGAAAATTCGGTCACAAAAAAGGGCACAAAAAGGGTTCGAAGACTACCGGATTTCACCATAAATCACACAAAGACGAATATCACAAGGAGCACAAATTTTACGACGATTTCCACAAGGGCGGGCATCATCACAAGCACGGTGACTTCCATGGCCACCACGACAAGAAAGAAGGACACCACAAGAAGGGTGGACACCACGAAAAGGGGCATCACGAGAAACATCACGGAAAGAAGGGACACCACGACAAAGGACACTACGACGAAGATCACAAGGGCCACAAAGGGCATCATGGCCACGAGGAACACCACGCACATCACCACGATTATGGCAAGAAAGGTGGACACGCGGGTGGCAAGGAGCATGGATACAGCCATGGCAAGAAATCATAAGACTACTAAAGTTGCTTATGATTTATTATGCTTTATTACTTATTCCTTGTTAATAAAAGTCATTGTTCGTAATTCTAAGTTTATTGTGATACATATATAATTAAGAATGAAGAATGAACTATAATGCCTTGTTATGTGCTATTTCGAAGTATCTGTTGCCTTGATTTTGTTGAATTGTTGTTAAAGATGTTTAAGTTCAAAACAAAATTTGTTGTAAGAAAAGTTGCAAGTTATTAAAATTGTTAATTTTGAAATCCTATCTTACGTTTTTATACACCCAAAAAAATATTTGTGATATTATTAGAAAGGAAAAATTATGAGTTTTGACAATCTTTATTTTTAAGTTCACAATAGTGCCATAAGTGGGGCCAGGTGGTCAAACTCAATCTTTTCAGTAATATTTTTAGTCTTAATGTTTTCATCTTGATTAGCTATGAAAATCAGATTAACTTCATCTCTCCAGCCATATTTCTTAACCCAGTGTTTCAAAGTTACGTCTGAAAAACAAAAGATAAATTCTTGAAAACAAACACTTTGTTTTTTAATTAGCTCCAAACTTTTGGTACCAAACCCTGCCAGGGTTAAGTAAAGCACTAAAATTGGTTTATTACAAAATCAGTTACAGTAAAGTTACTTAAATTAAGTATGTAATATATTGTAGGTAAATAAAAACAAATTAACCATTGTTATTATAATCATTATTTAAAACTTAACTTACCATCAATTCCACCCAGTAAATTAGCGAGGTTGTTCTTATCAATAGTCTGGAAAGTAATGCCAACCACATGACACACAAACTTCCTTATGGAATCATGGAAACCATTGATGCGGTTACACAATTCAGGCATTTGGTGCACTCTATTCCAGAACTGAGCAAAATCACACTGCTCTAGAATGTCTGCCAAATATTTTATCTGTGATATTGTCTCGTTTTCCACCTAAAAAATATGTTTCATATGTACTGTACAGATGGCAGCACATCAAGCTACACATTGATGAATCTTGTTCTGTTGACTGAAGGTGATATTCAAACAGTGGTATATAGCTTGATGTACTGTTGACTGTTACATTAAAAGAGTGATACATTTAATTTACATCTAGAATTTGTATTTTATAACATAAAACATGCATCTTATGCATATTCTTAACTATACTTTGATCCTTAAAGATTTATTCAAATATTAGCTCATTACTTATAAAGAATTAATCATTTAATGTTTTAAATATAATTCTTGCATAATCAAAACATATATATTGCCATAAAAGACACAATTAGTGGCAGAGTTATTGTACCACTGTCCTGGGTAATAAAACTCAGTTCCAATTCAAAACTTCTAGTAAATCTTGCTTTAAAATTCATAGAACTATTGGTACTTACCACAGATTCCAGAAGTAGGCACTTGCATAGAGTGAAATCTGTATGTGGGAAGTTAGTAAGGGCCTTTAGCAGAATCTGGCACGTAATGTCGGCATTAAACTTCTCTGGGTTGAATTGATATAGCTTCAGAACCGCCAAGTTGGCCTCCAAATCGTAAGTGTTCTCTCGAGACTGCATTTCCACATATCTTTCCAATGTTTGAAGATTAGCTGGGTTATACCTAAAAGTAATCCAAAATATGATTTGTTTAAACCTGTGATTCCCATTAAAAATTACGAAATTCGTTTCCTATTACACTTACACTTGAATCATAACCTATTTTCAAGTGGCAGATGTTGAAATAAACTAACCTTTCAATGCTCTTTAATATTGCGGCAACGGTCTGCTTCATAGGCTCTGCCATTTTATATTTCGCACGTAAATTTCACTCTTTTATAAAACCTTTAAAACAGAAAACAGATTTTTCGCGTGGCTTCTTCACTGTTTAGCAGAAATGAAATGACAGATGTATGACAACCGGGCTGCCAATGCCACGCGTTCAAAATCCCCAAAAATCAAGGATCAAATCCCCAAAGTGAGAGCAAATTTCACGTTCCCCATGAATAGCAAATTTATAAAATGAGATTATTTTATTTATTACATTTATAAATGAGATTAGACCTTTAGGATAGAAATAATCAATGAGTAAGTTAAATTTGTAAACTTGCCTCTAGGTGTACCTAAATTTAAAATTTAAAGTTGACGAGAGGCAAGTTGTGGTGTGAAAGTCCCAGCTCCTCGGCTCTGTTCTATAGTCCATTTGTTTAGGTACCTACTTAACTAAATGTAAACAACCTTGATACATCTTTTTATTGAAACATATACTTTACAAATCAATAGGCATAAAAATAGGCATGCAATTTGTATTTTGTATTTAAAGGTAAGTAAAAATCATTTTATAAATGTATATTTCATTAAATAGACATATCAAGATTGTTTGCATTTAGTTATAGATATATATATATATAGATAGATATATATAGAATCTTAGAATAATAACGCATAGAATCATAGTTTCATAAAAAACGAACTGTCACAAGTGAGGCAAAAATCAAATTCATGTAGGCGTAAGCAACTTGTATTTACGCTCGTCGGCACGCACACAAATATACAAATAATGATGCCATGGAATAACATTTCCCTCAAAAGTGGGGAAATTGTATCTTACTTAACTCATCGTTAAGTTAGAGGTGCCTACAGATTTGCTTGATTTTGTCGATCGTTACTGTCGATCAGGTGCCTACAGATATGCTCGATTTTGTCGATCGTTACTGTTGATCGACAACGTCAAGTGACAGGAATTTTCAAAAATTTATTTTTGGTAATCCTTATGGAAATGGCATTTATATCTGAACACACGAAGTCGGACACGACTTTTCTCATTTCTAAATCCAAGATGGCGGACACGTCTTTTCGAATAAATGCAATATGGGAATCGTTTTCGAGGTATTCGAGGTGCTCATCACGAATATGGCATTTATTTCTAAATCCAAGATGGCGGACATGACTTTTGAAATAAATGCAATATGGGTATCATTTTCGAGGTATTTGGGGGTGCTCATTACGAATATAGCACTTATTTCTAAATCCAAGATGGCGGACATGACTTTTCAAATAATAGCAAGTTGGGTGTCGTTTTCGAGGTATTTGGGGGTGCTCATTAAGAACATGGCACTAATTTCTAAATCCAAGATGGTGGGCACGATTTTTCGAATAACGGCAAGTTGGGTGTCATTTTCAAGGTATTAGGGGTTGCTCATTCCGAATATAGCACATATTTCTAAATCCAAGATGACAAAGAATTAGAAGAAGAAGAATTAGAATTCTTGTCCCCCATCTTGTATTCAGATATACATACCATTTCCTTATGGTTTACCAAAAATACATTTTTGAAAATTGTTGTCAACCATCTTGGATTTAGAAATTAATGCTACATTCGTAATAAGCACTCTAAAACTCCTCGAAAACGTCTATAATTCTCAATCGTTACTGTCGATCGACAATGTCGAGCAAATCTGTAGGCACCTTATTAAATACTACCCAATTCTTATTTAACTCATATATGAACAAAAACCTACAAGCGAGTTTAAGTGCGACTATCGAATTTGAATATATAAATAGCCTGATATTATCTGTGGGTATGTTTACATGAAAAGTACACGATAACAATTAAGAACCTGAACCTGAAAGTTATTTATACACGATTTTGGAGAACTGACGATGACTTTTTAGTCAGCGTTAGTTTCCTGAAATAATTTTAGTTAAGAACTTTCGAGTCTGGGCAAGACAATTTTTTAAATTAGTGTATGATGAACAAGAATAATGATTTTTCACAAGAAACTAATGAAGGCAAATACTAAATATATTTCGTAAAAATAGCTAACGTAAATTCCCTACAATGTTGTTGCGGTGGTGTACATTTGTAGAAATTTTGCAACCGTCGCGATATTGCCTATTCTCAAAAAATTACGTAATATAATTATTTTGAAACATAATAGCAAAATGGGGAGAAAAAACCCGTTACTTTGCAACATTTTCGTATCTTGTTGCAACGAAATAAATTTTCTGTTTTAGTGAATATTTACATAAAAATACAAGTTGAAACGCGTTACTTCCTTGTGGAATGTGATGTTAGTTCTATTTTATATTTGTCTTATCTATTTTTAAACCCAATTACCGCACATTTCGTCATTTTTAGCAAAAATTTTTGAGCTGCTCGCGGTGCAACTTGACCTTGAGCACTGACAGCCCGCTCGCTCGTGTAAGCCCATAGGGCGTCCTACAGTTTGCCTCACTTAGCGTGTGCGGGCTAGGTTTCTATGCGTTATTATTCTAAGTATAGAATATAATAAATACTGAGAATGAATAAATATTATTACATGTGGGAAATATTTCGTCTCCCAGCAAAAGTATAGAGAGCGCGCCTTCAGACAATCGGATCGGTAATAAAATCGGACGCTATTTCCGACTCGGACGCCACGTCACATCCGGTCCGATAATTATTATTAGATATTTTCCGATCCGATAATCGGATCGGACATGTATTGAGTGTACATACAATTATATGGTACGAGCGCCTTCCGATAATCGGATCAGACTATCGGATGGAAAAAACGGACGTGTATTGTCGCACTTTTGGCTGAAATTTAAAAAACGAACTAAACTTCGACTAGATGGCGAGTTATACAAGTTTCTCGTATTTATAAAACGAATTTTGCCTAGGGCCTGATTAAATTAAAAAATCAAAAGTTTTTAGTGCTTTATTGCCATTATATAAAGGGCAGGCGTTGGCACTTCGTAAAATTTTCAATCCGTTATATTTTTTAAACTAATGTAGATAGGAAGAGTATACCTTTAATTCGTGAAAGTAGCAAATAGGTAGCAATTATTGATAATACATACTTCTGGAAAATCTGCTCCCTTCATGCTGAACAAAGTGGCGACCAGATTGGTCAAATTTTTCTAAATTTCTCAGAATATATCAAAGGTAGCAATTCTTGAATATACACTCAGTTTCAGACGCCACAGGCGATCTGCCATCCTGACGGTCACGAAAAATCAAGAGGAGAGGAAAGGAAAAATGAACAGGAGAGTTAGTCATAATAAATGAAATAACGACTATTTTGTTTTATAGTAAACATCCACATCCGGACTACATTTGATACCTAACGGAATGTCGTATACCTAGTGTCGTTCCGTAACCCAAGCGCATGTATTCCACAAATGCCGCATAAAAAATTCCCACTGGTAGCGAGTAGGAATTCATACCTATTTTTTTTCTCGGTAGCAGGAAATGGAATGAAAATAGCACTAACTTAATCTTTGTAATAACCACAATGTAACGTTATTCAATACCTACCAATGAAGATCATTCCACTACCATCTTCCATATTTCCATCTGGAGGCTCGCGACATTCCACATACAGTACATCAAGCGGCCTAGCACTGACATTTATAATTCCTAGACTGAATAATATCCTACTTTATAAACCATACGACGTTAGCAGATACGTGTTATTAACATTGTCCTAAGAAGTTTTAGACAATGATCTTCTCTACATAGTTATAAACAAAGTACGCTAGTAGGTACATAAAATTATCGTTTGTTATAAAAACTTTAAAGGTTATAATGATTTAGATAGAAGAGTTATAGTACATAGATACCGTTGGGCAGAAGGAATAGCCACCTCACCACAATCAATCGATAGATTAGGTAGATTTTTTTTTATATGCAACACTTGTGAAGTCGAAGGTGGTCGAACCAGATATTTGGTTTTTAAAAAATTGTAATTATTTTGAACAGATATACGTTACATTTAACCTTATACAGATAGATATTTTACTTGAGTATAGAAGTGATCAAAAGCATTTTTTTTTTTGAAAAACTTATCACATCGCTTAGAAGACATTTCTAAGAAGAAAGTAGAAGAATTGATAACTCTTCGTCCGATTCGTTGGCAAATACTATGCCAGAGCATCGAGGACTCCATTCTCTCCCTAATGAACACCATTCTAACCCGTCTTTTAAAGATGTAAGTATATCTATTATCTTACCCGTATCGATTTTTATTCATCATCAGTTCTTAGATTGGGATCTTTCTACCAAATTGATAATGTCCATTGCTCTGACTAGGCACTACTGCCAAGAACTTAACGTCCCTTTCAAAACCTGACGGTATGTAACATCAGACCAACTCCTTAATCTCATGATCTCAAGGTCGCTCTTGTATGAAATGCTGATATAGCTTTATAATAGACAATTTGCTCACGGAGCCAAGCTGCAGAGCCTCGAACACCGTAGTCGGATAGTCTGCCTCTAAGTATTTTATAGAAGGAATATAATATTTCGTAGTATGTGCACAGATATTACGCCCCATCCGTTCCTTTCTACCGCCGATAAAGTAGATTTAAATAAATAAAAATAAAATCTGTCTTTTATAAATGACTAAAAACTGAAAAATTGTAATGTTAGCGTATTACAACCGCCATCGTCGCGGCGCGCAAGTTAGGCTCATCGAGTATATGTTATATTTCAAGCACTACAAATCATACCCACGTCCTGACTTGAGCATTGAGTAGAGTTCTGGAATATGACCCTTAAACGTTTTTGTAAACGACTTTTTAAGATTCCAACTAAAAAGCGTTTAAGTGAAAAGAGCTTTTTAAACGTACGTTTGAACGTTAAAAAATAAGCAGTTTTTTCCATGTCAACGGTTAACAACTACAAAAGTTAAACAACTTATGTTTTTGAACGCTTTAAAACGTCAATGAACAAAATGTAAATGTAATAATGTTATGTTATAAATAAAAATAAAACTCGTTTTTTTACAAATAACCTTATCTTAAAACGTTTAGTTAGTTAGGTCTACTCTTGCTTTTCGCTATCAACACAACATTACTGGCTTTTTTAAACTAAAGTCTGTGAGCTTAAACGTTTTTCTAAACGGTTTTATTCGTTTCAAACTAAAAAGCGTTTAAAAAAGCACGCTTTTTTTAAAATGAAAAGGGATAACGTTTAAACGTTTAAAAAATAAGCATTTTTTCCCATCTCTCACATAGAACAGACAACCACAAATTACACCCAAACTTACGAGAGTTATAAATAAAGGCCATATAAATATTATTCCCGGCCAGGGAATCGAACGCGGGGCCTCTGCGTAGCGGTCCAGCATTGTAAATTGTAAAGGTTTGAACAAATCAAAAGGGGCAGTTTTGGACATGTTTAAAGAGGGCATGAACTTACTTTTAGAAACTGTTTCTGAAGTTTAGAAGTTTCGAAACTAATTTTTCATTTGAAAACCATTTCCCGAAAGTTGAGATTTTCGTTTAGTGATGTTATTGGTTTCAACGTGCGATATGTAGTAGTAAATTAAATAATTAATAATTTAAAAAACATTAACTATTAGTGATGCCAAAGCAAATGAAGCTACATCTGCTAATATTTTTGTGTTAAAGTGGTTCTGTTTTTTTTTGTTATTATTGTTCTGGTACTAGTCCTGTGATTTTATAATTAATTACTTAGGACGATGTTAAGCGTTTATTTATTTTTTATATTGCACTTAATAATTTTAATTGAGTTTCACTTCCGTCCAAACTTTTTTTTTAATAGTCCTATATGTCGTAAACGATTTCTGGTAACGGATTTAATAAAAATATTTTGCAATAAATAAGTCATTTTCTTCACTGAAATTCATTAATTCAAAAGTGCCCCAAGTGGGTCCAAAGCTGCCCCTGCAAAGGCGTGGGGCAGCTTTAATTTTTGAGAACCTTCGCAAAAATGGGAATTCGGACAGAATTATAAACTTTATGATCATGCTCATTAAGAATTATTAAAGCCAAATAAAAATTCTAACTACTGCAGCAAATACAAATAAATAATAATGATTTAGGATTTTATATCCAAATGTAAAAAATGTCCAAAGGTGCATCCTTCTCCCCTAATTAATCAATAAAAATTTCAGATATAGATGAAAATTTACTTGTGTACTTAAATTCTATGTGTAGGACTTATTTACGAAAGCAACTTATTACAGTGAATTAATATATATTAAACATACTACTAATAATAATTACTGTTTTTTGAAGCTCTTCAAAATTGGATAAATATTATCAAATGCTTCATAAATCTCAGTTCGTACTTTTGCACCAGTTAATACAACTTTGCCAGATACAAAAATTAAAAGTACTATTCTAGGTTTAACCATACGATAAATAAGACCAGGAAAAAGTTCCGGTTCATACGAGCTAAACTGGCCATGAGTGAGTACCAGACCTTCAAGACGTATAGGAAATTTAACATCACAACTGCCCACCATGTTTTGGATTTTGAAATCTAAAAATTTTGCCTGAAAAATAAAAATAATTAGTTAGTAAGTTACGTAGAAACAAACATAAAAAATTTTTTGCATATTAAGGGTGCCATTTTTATGATGTGGCCAGCCTCAAGTTTTTGTATTATAAAAAAATTTAATTACTGATGCACTTACAGTAAAACCCAGTTTCTGAATAATCCTAGCATATTTTCTAGCAGCTAAACGTGAGTCCTCTTCACTTTTGGCACCAGTGCAAACCATTTTCCCTGATGAAAATATTAGTGCCGTAGTCCTTGGTTCCCTAATTCTCATAATGACAGCAGCAAACCGTTTCGGATTGTATTCTGCATTACGTGCATGGAGAGCAATTTTCTTAAGATCCAATTTGCAATTAAGGTTAACTGTTGACACAATATTCCTGTAAATAAAAAACATTGTTACCATTATGGTCACCCAATCAACTTATCATATATTTTTAAGTAGAATATGAAACACACACTCTTGATTATTGATTTATTTAAAGTCACTTGTACCCATAGTGTTAGTTACAAAGTCACTTAAAAATTAATATTAGTAACATTATTAATTTTTAAGTATACATTTAACACAACTAAATTTTTTGTGCGCAATACATGCTGCATTTGATAACTGGCAATGCCGATGTGGGGAGCAAAACAGCCAGGCTCAAATGGAAAGGCGACGGCGGGGATGGCCGAGAATGCGTTGGCAGAACGATCTTAATTCATAAACGAACAATATCTTGTTATATACTTTTAATTAGGCATTCATTTAACTGACGACATTTGTGACCTAAACGGTGGTGTTGTTGCTACGGTAATCATAGTACAGGAATATCCTAATATGAAACCACATAATTGGTGTGGTGTCAATAATATTATTAATACATTATATCAATTTATAGCTACAAGAGCAGTACACTGAAGAAAATGGATTTGTGAACAAGTTCTGGCGATTCTTTTTTAATAATACGAAGATTGAACATTCAAAAAAATTCCTTCAATCCGGCCACATTAAAACCGACTTCTTCTAACATACCGTGTCAGACGCTATACCAACTAAGCCACAATTTTTCTATGTGCTTGTTGTCGTGTCTTTGTATTTGGTTTTTCAATGACTTTTTAGTAATTTCACAAAAAATAATTGAATACCAATTCAATAAAAATTTAAGATTCTTTTTTGTTGGAAACAGGTTGACTCAGTAGTGGTTCCACTTCCCATCCGGTTTCGTGCACTGTCCAGTAACCAATTATTATGTCAATAAACCTTGGCAAATAGATGTAACTCCACAAAGTTTTCAGGTCGGTTTTTTTAAATAAAAAAGATATAATTTATAATGCTATAACATATTTCAATATATGTAACCAAAGCTGTCAGCCAGTAAAACATTGTATTATATTATTATCATTAACACATTTTATACAATGATAAATACATTACCACGTTAGATGTACAGTCAACAGCACAAACTATAAACTTTTGTTTGAATACTTAGTTTTATTTCCGCTTGAATAATTTGATGTTATACAAGCTCAAGACAATTTATTGAGAAATATCTTCCTAATCATGACTTAAAATTTAATGCTACATTTGATATATTTAGCAGAATTTAATAAGAATACAAACTGTAATTGTGGCAGAATTCCTGGGTCTGCAGAGTGGGGTGTCATTGGAGTCATTGGTTGTGCTGGACTGGCCTGGCTAAGCATTTGCTGCCCTGCCAAACTGCTACTTGTAATCATTGGGGACATCAAATTTTGCTGAAAACAATTACAATAATATGCATCAACACAGAAATGGATATCAAAAGTCAAAACTATACACTGTAATCTAATCTAAAAATTAAATTCACATAGTCTCAAACTGAACCAATTTGAGTATTAAAACGATTTAATTATATTACATTGCATCAGACATTATAAAAGTATTAAAACCAGTAACAGATAAACTTAATATAAATAAATTACCGGTGTTTGTGGCTGCATCATCTGTTGCGGAGTGGAATAACTGGCAGTAGGAGCGTATGTGTGCATAGACCGTTGAGGAGTCCCCATGAGAGACGCACCAAACCCAACTAAAGGCGAAGAGCCCAGTGCAGCGAGCGAATGTTGCTGCTGTTGTTGATTTTGCAGCTGCTGCTGCTGCATAGCATTGGGTAGGATCTGTTGATCCTCTTCCGGCTGGTGCAGCGGCGTCCCAATACCAGGAATATTGTACGGACTTGGAAGCATTTGATCCATATTGATGTTTAGTCTTGACTCTTATATAAACCTTAATAATTTCACAAAGAAAACATTGAAATTCTTGAAACACATGCAAAGGTACACACTGCCGTATTAAAATTCCTTGAAATAAAGCAGTTATCCAGAAAAATAAGTTGAACACAAAATTCAATATATTTTACCAAGCTCTGTGAAACCAAACCGTCCGCGTGCTGTCATTTTGACAGTTAACATTAATGTTGCTAATTTCACCAGTTTTCATTTTATTAACTTGGCACTGCACGATCTTTACCATTATTTTACCATCATTAAAAATGGAATGCAATTTTTTTTTATCAAACAACCTGTTTTAGCACAGACATTATATCTAGATAGACGCCGCAAATGTACGTACTTCGCGTGCCCAAAGTAAGTGAAATTCACTTACTTGCCGCTGCTACACTTCAGAACGCGCTCGACCGTTATTGTAGATAAACACCAGTCGAAAACGCGAAAAATGCATACTTGTGCCGTTATAAACTGCAAAAGCATCATAACTGTGGGTAAACGAGTAAACAGGGACGTTTACTTCCACGGGCAAGTGATTTTGTAATCAGAAGATGCATAATTTATTTTAATTTAATTTATTTTTTAATTTATTTGCCTGTCAAGTATAAAAAAAAAAAAAAACAATTATTTTGGTTTTGTATGAATTTCGAGAAAACAAATATGCAACCCGGTGTATGCCTCATTTTGTAATACATTGCGGCTTTTACTTGGTACGATATATTTGTGATCCTTTGTTAATACGCCATGAATATCGAACGAACGCACTTTTGCATAATGCATGCAGTTTCTGTGGTACGGCCGCTTGTACATTTTTTGACCAAATTTAACATTTAGTGATGTATACGTTACGCAATACTATTCTTGATTCTGATCGATTTTGGAAACAAAGGGACGAAAATTATTATGTCCTTAGCAATATTATAAAAATATTCTATAACTCTTTTGTTATAACGTTTAGTACCGTTTCGTTTTTTTTTTCAGTTTTATAGTATCTATTATCAGTAGTATCTGTACTTTCGATAATTTTTGCAGCACGTTGCCTCGAATGTCCGAATACACGCAAAATAAGCGCCTTGTCGTCGAGTTGCGGATACCAGCCCGTTGCACCAAGTACCAAGTACAGTGAGCAAATAATTACTTATTAATTATTATTATTATTTAATTATTACGAGTAATAGAAAAATATATATATAATGCAAAGAATTAACAGCGTGCTGTCTTTACAAAAAACCTGGAGTTGGTCATACGTATGAGTTCGTTGCTTTCGAGGACGAAGGTGGTCCAGTTTGTCCCACCTAAGATGCTATCCCAATAAGCAGAGTTAGAAATCCGAGAAATAATAAACAAATAACAAAAATTTCACACGTGGCTATCATTAAATAAACCTTTTCTGACTAATAAGATTTACTATAATTTGTCAGTAGTAACATTTTCAATTGTCTTGCCATTCATAAATTTGATCAATTACTAACAGAAAACCATCTAGTAAAATTAATTAAGACAGTCGCAAGTTCATATATTGACGTGCGTTTTCATCATTTAAGTCAATCGATAAGATCTTCTATTACAAAAAGACAGTTATATAATAAGCTTATATTATTCTAGAACAATAATTTTAATATTTGAAGTTGATTAATAATTAAAGTTAAATTATTAAGTAATCAAAATTTTATAAAAACAACTTTTAATAAAGGACATAACTATCTTGTTTTGGTATTTTTCTACTATATTAATATTTCACGACTACTTGTAATCTACACGAATATTTGAATTGATTAATTGAATGTAATACGTGTATTCCGTTCAATCAATCGATTTAGCGCGGAAGGTGGTTTCCCTCACTAAATTGTTCTGGTGACGTCATGATGGTTATGTAAAAGTGGTTCGCCCGGTTTTCCTACAAATGGCTGTACTTGCGGCGTCTATCTAGATGTATGTCTGTATGTTTTAGCGAAGATGTTTACTATAAATGAAATGCTATCCGACGTGTCTACTGCATATCAACAACAATATATTAGAGTCTGGCAAACGAAAGCTGGCAGAAACAAGGGCGGCAAATTTAAAAAATCTTGATCTTAGAAAAACACTAACAAAGTCCAGAATACACAATTTGATATTTGTATTTGGTTGAAAAATTGGTTAGACTCAATGATCTTATACACGTAAACCCATGTCATATTTTTTCTTTCTACGGATAACTCCAGATGGAAATTAATGATAGTGATAGTATGGGATAATATTAAAAACATTTTTCGTTTTCAGTAAAACCAAATTGAAGAAAGTATGGGCGTAAAACTATTTCCTGTGGGGTAGCTTGCGCGCAGGCGTAGGCGGTGGGGAAGAAGGCGAACGCTGTTCGCTGCTCGCCTAATTCCCTAGTTAGGCCAGCGGATAGGGGACGTGATCCCCTACCCGCATTACACGGTCTCACCCGTCTGGGGGCACGGGTCAAGCCAATCCTGGTGGGAACGGGATGGCCGGCGGCGTCGTTGTGGTGATTCTGTGGGATTCCACGGCGCCCGCAACACCTGGCCAAGGGTAAGCCTTGAGGTATTAGTGGGTATGTCCCTCCACGTGGAGGTCAGTCCCACATACCCCTCAAGCATCCCCGGTTCGAGGGTACGCATAAAGCATTTCCCCGTAAACAAAAAAAAAGGGGTAGCTTTACGATAATGAAACTGATTTGCCATTCTGCGCTTTTATCTTTCGCCTTCATGCTGTTCATGAAAAACAAAGCCAAATATAGTAGTTGAGTATGTTCGTTTTTATTTATGTATACTTGTATATTTTTATTGTGTGCGCGTGAGCCGTGTTCGCGCGTGGGTGCGTGCGCTTGTGTGTGTGTGTTTTTTGAAAATTGTATTTCAATTATTTCAGTCAGACGTCTATTGTCAGATATTAGAATAGATGATCAAACGAACTTCTGAAGTGAAGTTCGATCATTATTAT